ATGGATGGACCTGGAGGGTGTTGTGCTGAGTGAAGTGTATCAGACAGAGAAAGACAGATGCAATGTGATTTCACTTATATGTGGACTTTAAAGAACATAATAAACAAACATAATGGAAACATATTCAGAGAACATTTTGATGGTTGTCAGATGCGAGGGGAGTATGTGAAAAATGGGTAAGGATTAAAAAGTACAGATTGGTTGTTACAAAGTAGTCATGGGGATGTAGGGTATAGAATAAGGATATATCAATAATATCATAATAACTATGTATGGTGTCAGAAAGGTACTAGATTTATTGGGGTGATAGATGGGAGGGAGTTAGGGGACAGGGTAAAAAAAGGTGAAGGAAGTACAAATTGGTAGTTACAAAATAGTCATGGAGATGTAAAGCACAGGGAATACAACCAATGATATGGTAATATTATAACTATGTATAGTGCCAGGCAGGTACTAGACTAATCAGGTGGATCACTTCTTAAATTACATAAATGTCTAAGCACTATGCTATACACCTGAAATATAAAATAATATTATATGTTAAGTGTAATTGAAAAATTTTAAAAAGGAGGGGGGAAGCTGAAGGGAATAAGAGGTCCAAATTTCCAGGTATAAAACAAATAAGTCATGGGGATGTAATGTACAGCATAGGGAATATAGTCAATAATATTGTGATAGCGTAGTATGGTGTCAGATGGTTGCTGGACTTATCATGGTGATCACTCTTTAGGTATATAAATATTGAATAATTGTGGTGTAAACCTGAAACTGATATAATGTATGTTTGCCATATTTTAAAATAAATTTTCTTTTAAAAAGACACAGTTGTGTTAACTGTTAACAACTTAACTGAATTAACGTACAATTATATTCATTATACTCTGCTTTAAGAGGTAGACAATAGGGCCGGCCGAGTGGCGCGATAGTTGGGAGCTGGCTTGGGATGCCAGAGGGCCTCGGTTCGGATCCCACATGTGAGGGCCAGTGACCCTGCCCTCTACAGCTAAGATGCTGAACAACAGCTCAACCTGGAGCTGGGCTGCCGTGAGTCGCCGGCGACGGCGTAGGCTGCAGCCCCTGTGGCAGTGGGTTGCCATGGGCTGCCGTGTGTAGCCAGCGTGAGCGGCCAGCAGCCTCAGTGGGCGGCCGCCCGGGGGCCGGCGACTGATCTGCCTTGCCCAGGAGGAGCGCAATGATGGTGCCAACTTGGGCCAGTGGGGCGGCGTCCTCCACAACTAGACTGAAGAACAAAAGGACAGCAACTTGTCTGTTCCCCTTCCCCCAATTCCCCAATAAAAATATTAAAAAAAAATAAGAGGTAGAAAATAATATGCTTGAGAAAGTCTATCATCAAAAATACTGAACAGAAAATTTTGGCTATTTAAACACAGAAGTTACTTGTTATTTATTTCATATGCAACTTTGATTCTCCTAAGAACTCATGTAAATAAGATGTGATGATATGTTTGTAATTAGATATTTCTAGTCCTAGCAAACAGATTCTTTTAACCTAGTACTCATTTCCAATCTTATTTGTTTTTATTTTTTATTTTAATAAGATTGTGTTCCTATTGACAATATTGTGGCAAAACTTCTCAGTCCTTGTCTACTGATGACAAATATGATTGTTTTATATGTAAATGACAGGAGAGCAGTTCAAATTGGTTTTTTGGACAGCAGAAGGGGAGAAGAGGGGGAGCATATGTTTAATGTAGCTTTTGTGGGTCAGCCTATGACCAATTGATAACTGAACTTTGGAGATATAACCTGGTCTGTTAGGATTTTCCTGCATTAAAAAAGGAATGATTGACAAGACTTTGTAAATTCTGAATACCATACAATTCCTCCTAACTTCTTTTCACCAAAACGCAATGAGCAGGACCTGCAGTTGTAAGCCACCTGTGCTGTAGCTTCGATATGAACCCTACTTCCCAAACGTCAGGTGCCTGTATTGGAAGGTGGGAGACATGCAGTATAAAGGACCTCTTTTGTTAACCACTCGTAGAAAAGGTACAATAATGTGAGCATAACAGAAATGAAAACATCAATTACTTTTTGAGCTCAGGAATAATATTTTAATGGCAATAGTCTCCTTAACCAGCACCTTATATTTTCACTGGAAATGAAAATCTAAGCTTATTAAGAAATAATCATTTTTAATACAATGGTTTTTACCTACAGAATAAACAAGTGTAAGCATACTTACCTTAGGAAGACAGAAGAAATTATCAACTCTATATAAATTTCTGCAAACTCTTCAGAATTTCCCAAACTATGTTCTTTGGAACCATTAACAGATGTTTTACACACACACACTCTATGGTCAAATAAGATTGGGAAACGTTATTGACTATTCCCAGTCCTAAACACTCTCAATTCACAGTAGCATATTTCAGAATGTATGTCTTGCAGTAGAGATACCTGTTCAAATGTATTTAATCCAGCATTTCCCAAAGTTAATTTCCTCAAAAGTAACTACAGCATTTGGCCTCCTAGTCCTGCTTCCAATCCCCCATTCTGCAAAGCAACTTTTAGTGGAACTCGTCCCATAAAGCAAAGTTTGAGAAACACTAGTTTGGTGGTTTCTATCTACACAGATTTGCTGTCTGAATAATATGTAAGGAATTCTGAGTGACAATCACACCCATTTGGATATAACTTCAATTGACTCCATAATGAGAAATTTAAAATGCAAATTGTTCAAGAGCAAACTGCCTTTACCATTTGGAAATGTTGCTGAGATTTACTTGGATTTGGGTACCGTCAGATTACTTTCCAGTGTATCTGGTATAGGAAATAGGCTCCAAAGGTCTCAAGTATTGAGCACACAATCTGAGTGGCCACATCTATATCTTATACATGAACAAGCCTGATGATTTTAATATGACAAAGGTACTCTGAACTTTTTTTTGGCACATGCCTCTTGGAAACACTGGGAGTGGAGTAGAAGTGTCTTCATTTGTATTCTGCACAAGACGTATATTACAGATTCATGCTAGTGGGGGTGAGGACACGAAGCCATTGCTATTGAGCTTCAAATGTGGCAGCAAAGATGAAGAGATGATCACCACCTCTCTAAATATAATGAAAGCCTAACTTTACAACAGTCCTTTTAAATGAGCTTTCCTCCCGCTACTTGGCTATGCATTAAATGTTGGCATACACGGAAAAATAAAAACAGTAGTTCTGCGGGTTCATTTATGTTGGCTGGGTTATGAAGATTAACTCCTCATTTGTTGGTTCTAAAGAAGTCATTGAATGTAAGTGTAACTGAAAATACAAACCTGAAAACACTTAAATATTGATAGAAAAAAGCCACATATAGTCAAGACACCATTCTTTAGATACGTAATATCAGTGTGTGTTATAAAGAAATAGTTGGTTTAATTCTTCAGGGAATACAATAGAGATTTCAGATTTGGCAAGGCATGTTTTCTGGAAATAATGTAGCATAGTAATTCTCATGGCAGAGGCACACATGCAGAGTAGACAGGTTTAGTACAATTTAAATACCTACTAGGTCACTTGCACTGAAGATTTTTAAAAATGTGATAGAGTTTATTATTAATTCTCTAAAATATTCTAATGCTCAGTCCTAGAGACAGCCAGGTCCTCTCCTCTAAAGCAGCCTGTGGCTGCTGTCACCTTGCTCATTCACATAAATATTAGTCCTATGCTAACATGCAGTATTGCTCAGAATGTGCACTATTGATGCACACAAAGATTTTAGGTGCTCCAGGAAGTAGGGTCTATTTTAATAATGAAGATGATCATGATAATAATCTAAAAACACTTACCATGTACTATGTGCTGCCAAGCAAAAATTCTAGAGTATTAATTTGAATGGTCTTCATAAGACCACTGTGTTGTAGCTCTTATTAATATCTCCAATGAACAGAAACGAAATTGAGGCACAGGGAGGCTAAGTAGCCTGCTCAACATCACACAGCTGGAAAGGGGGTGAGAGAAGATTGAAACTCAGGAAGTCTAGCTGAGGGTCCATGCTGACGTTCAGGTAATAATGCCATAACACAGAAGTACACAGAGGGGTCGCTAGGGATTCAGGATCCTTCCAGAATGTGAGGTGACCGTTAACAGACACATGCCAGGTCAGAAATTTGGGCTAACGTCCTGCTCCCGACCGCCTGAGATAACAGCTCCAACTTTCAACTCACCTGCTTTCAATGTTCCCAGAAAATTCTCTTGTTCAGACAGAAAATCTTTCTTTTACACATTTCTAAGACATCACATAATCACATTTCTGTGGGAAATTCAAATGACTCTGAAAAAGGGCTCGATTATTGTATATTACAATTTAAGGAAAAAAAAATCAAACTTAAGAAAAAGCTGACAATCAGATCAGAAGCATCATAGGGAGTTTCTTGCTCATTTTCTCGAGAGGTTAAACCAGAATATTTTTTTAAGAGGGCAGAAGTTTAAGGTCTAGCTAGGGAATAAAGACATGTTTTGTCTGACACTTCCCAAGTCAAATCCAGCATTTATCAAATGATTCTTAAGTGCTGTATTAAAAAAAAAAAAAGCCAGGAACTAGCAACCCGGGTATATTAAGATTAAGCTCTCAGTATTGTAAATTTATATTTTAAAAACCAGTATCTTTTTTGTAAATATGCACACAGGTTTCTCTGATAATTTCTCTTCTTGTAAAACCACCTCACTGAAACATTTTAAATAAAACTATATCTAAAATGAATTCTTGGCATTTGGTAGTTTAATCTCCCCGAAATTCATAGGGGAAAAAAAGCTGTATAATTATAGTTCATCAGAGTGCAATTCATACAGTAATCAAAAATGTTTAAAACCGAAAAGTAGTATCTTAGAATGGCATTTAAAACAAACAAAAAGAGTACTTACCGGCATTTAAAATTTTTTCCCACAATTTGTTATTCACTAAATCTGAAGAAAATGTGCACTACCATTTTTGATAAGGCAAACAATATTAAAAATTGGCATTAACTAAATTAAACACAATTGGCCACCACTATGTGAAAAACCAAATGCTTTAATGAGGCTATCAAGAACAACAGTTCAATTATATATTTGGATACATTAATATTTATCCATAATATACAGTGCTATGGATCATACAGAAATTAACTGGTGCATCCAACAGCAGATGACTAGATTACAGTACCAAGCGAACGCAAGAGACAGTCGTTTGTCATTTTTTTTTCAAGAAATAGGGTTTTTTAATACACTGTTGTCAACATCAACTTTCCCCCAGTGCATTTAAAAAATATTGATAAGTGCATTCCTTTGTGCTTTATTTTGTATCTTTTAACTTTCTATGTATTTTATTTGTTCTTATTGCTTTATTATTTAAAAACAACCAGAAAGAACCCTGTCATTCTGTGTATGACCAAGTTGGTTGCATGGTTTTTGGCAAAGTCAGAAGGTTTGGTTTTTCCATTACCTGACCGAGGCAGGTGGACACATTTGGCATTTTAGTTACTCCAGATGGAGGTCGATCCCCGAGTCACAATTCTGCACCCAGAGATGAGGGAGTGGTGTGGATCATTCATCACAAATAGCGAGCCGAAACCACCACCTCGTGGCTTAATTTAGTCCCTAGAAGGAACCCACACTCCATTTGGCAAAAAAGAAATAAATAAAACCACCCCCAAAGTTGCAGCATTCTCCTGGGCTTACTCATCTCCACTCCCAGAAATTGTCTCTTGAGAAGAAGGGGAAAGGGAAGCAGAGAATGGTGAGCTCAGGAGATGTGAGATCCAGGGCAGTGGTACAAGATGCCATGCTTTCTCTCAACAAAGCTTCCTATGAGGTCACTTAGCCCTGGCCATGGGCTCGTCAACCCTGCTCTGTTTTTAAGAATGCTCCAAATCAGCTAAAGAAAACTAGCATCACACCATTGCAATCGCTGACTTTTGCACCCAGCTCCCCTCCCCCCATATAAATATGAAGAGAAAACTAGACAACGCTATGATTGTATCAGTGAACACTATGGTACAATTAGCTGTTCATGCAGATTCGCATTACTACTCTAGGAAAAGAGCTATACAATCAAGGAGGTTGAAAGAATGGGAACCGATTTCCCTGCCTCCTTAAGTAATAAAGCTATGAAACTGATAGCATCATCAATGTTTCCAAGGATTTTCATTGCCCAGCGTGCATGGGAACTACGCAGCTGATTATTGTCACGTAAGCCATCCACACATACACCTGACAATCACTCCTCTCAGAACCCTCCAACACCCATCACCAATTCACATTTGACATTTAAACTCATTTTCTTTTTTTTTTTAAAAAACCCTCCTGAATAAGGTTTCCTGATGAAAGAAGTTGGCACTCTGTCACTAAAATATATTTAATATTAAAAATATCAGAAGGAAAATTGGAAGCTCTTAAATATTGTCTACATAGGCACCATGCTACATGTCCTCTTGACTACAGATACCATCTTGAAGCTTTCTCTGTTGTGGTTCAGTCAGTGCTAGCCCAAAAAAGACTACTGCTATATTAAGGCACTTCATTCTGAATGGATATGCGTTATACCACTTGCTATTCAATTGTAGGCTGCTGCTGAGAAATTCCATTCTACAGCCTGGCTCTTAACACCATGTATATCACCTGTATAAAACATCTAGGCCTGATAGAATAACACTACTGTTATTGCATAGGGTTACACAAGTAGATAATGCACAGGGAAACTAACTTTACAACATTGCTGCTTTTTAAAACATTGTTATCAAGGAACAGTAATTTGCCAATACAGTATTTCTCTCTTTAAAAAAATTCAGCAAGTTTGTTGAAATAAACCTCAATTTAAATGACCATAATGGGCGTATTAATGCTATGGTTATCATTCTCCAAGAATACTGCTATTTTTATATCACTAAAAATAAATATGTAAGTTTATTCTCCCTAGAAAGCAGGTTATAATCTATTAATAATACTACATCTTAAATGTGTGGAAAAACAGTCCCGAGTGAGGCTGTAATATACAAAATATTTGCAAAGCTCTCTTTAAACACAAGACCTTGAATAAAAGTTTTCTTTCTTGTGTGTACAAAGAATGCAGAAAACCACCAGTGAGTTGTAAAAATATTGAAAACTTGCCATTTTAAGATGCATATTCTTACAAATTAATACAAACATATTGAAAAGAACGATGATAATAAAGAATCTGTACAAATCAAATGAACAGTAAAACATAATTTAAAACTAAAAATAGTGAAGCCAATTAGAAATGTGCCCAGTTTGGTTTTCTTATCAAAAAGCAAAATTGAAGGAAAAAAAAAGTAAAACTTTCAGTGCTCCTCAATATTTTACTTTGAGAGGACATTAGTTTTCATTTCAAAATAAAATAGAGCTTATGAAAAATTGAATCATACTCATTGATGAGGAAAATGGGAACAGCACGGAGTCAACCATGAGACCCCATGTTTCAGAGCATTGGTCTGTCTCCCTTCAATTTCAGTTGCACCTAAGTAAAGTATCAGTTATGTTTACTTAATAAGACAATTGTCATGAAAATTGCTGTATTTTTTTTTCTTTTACAGAATATAGCATTTCTTTAAATAGTTTGCAGTATAAAGACTAAATACTGCTAGAAGGGTACTGTATCTTTAAGACAGTACCAATGAACACATTTACAAAATGGAAAAAATTTTGTGTAGATTTTCCTTTCTTTCCTCTCTCTGCCTTTCTGTCTCTCTCTTTCCAATTTTTCTTTCTTTTTTTTTTTTTTGGTTGTTTTACATTCTTATGATTAAACTTTACATCTACTTTCCAAGGAAGTCACAGGGGGTGACACAAACCATGTTTCCCCTGAATAAGAATGGACAGAAATTTCTCTGACGCAAAATCCTCTTGCTCAGAAAGCTAACGTCTGGGGTGAATTCAGTTCACAGATACTGTACACTTATTGTACAATACTTTGGAGGCATTTGTAGTTGTAAAATAGAATATACAAGTCTGTTTCACAAAATTCTAAAAATAAAATATATCCTGGGCTATTGATAAAGCATGAAAAAAATTTCATATTAAAGGAAAATTATCAAGAAAACCCCTGCAGGTCAATTACTAAATCTACTAATCGGGAAGAAGCAGTCTGTGAGAATGCAGAGCAGGGGGCTGTGCTAACAGGCATGCTCAGTTTCCTCCATGCTCATACTGCTCCTTCGGCTGCTTGTTTTGGAAGCTCCAGGCGACACTGACGACAGAAGGGGATCAGTGACGCCAACAGGAGAAAGAGTATCATCCATCAGGATGTCTTCCAGTTTAGATCCCATTTTCGTGGGGACACTGTAGGCTTGGCCGCTCTCGGTCCCGGGTCCGAGGTTGTTGAAGGTGATGGTGCCATCGGTGAGATCGAGGGTTGTTGTACAAGTTAGGTCTGCATGATGCTGAAGGAGGTCTTGATTGCAGTTCTCAAGAGAGGGTTCTTGCTTGATGATCCGATTCACCAAATCTGGAGAGCAGAGGCCCGTGGATGGAATAAGGGAAAGTCCATGCGCTCGAGCCTGCATTTCAAGCTCCTAAAAGAAAAGTCAAAATCAGGGAACAGATGGAGCACAGCGGATTTCAGGGCACTGAAACTATTGCAGATGACACTATAAGGGTGGATACCTATCATTATGCACTTGTCCAAGCTCACAGGATGTACACCACCAAGAGTGAACGCTAACGAAAGCAGGCAGTTGGGGTGACAATGATGTATCAGAGCAGGTTCACTAATGTAACAAAGGTACCAGTCTGGAGGGGGATGGAGACAGAGGGTTGAGCTGTGCACGAGGTGGGGGCGAGAAGTAAATGGGAGAACTCGGTACCTTCTGCTCAAGGTTGCTGTAAGCCTAAAACTGTTCTGAAAAAACATAAAGCCTATTAAACAATCAGACACTTAGAGGGAAAACAATAAACATTCAAATAAAATTGTTTGCTCTTTTAAATTATAAATGCCATATTTCTTAGAGTATAAGTACTATTAGTAGTAAATGAGATGATTTTTAGGTGGTATATGGATTTTATTATGTATTTAATATAGAGACAGTCTCTCACAGATGTTAGTGTTCACAATGAGGATAAGTTAGAAAATATAAAAATAAAATTTCAAAATGTGAGGTGATTAAAGGAAAATATTCAGTACATAATATCATTCTGTGGTCCCCAAACTGTACGCTGAGGTTTCCAGAGGTGCTAAGTGAACTCACAGGGCACTGTGGGTATTTCAAAATTTCAAGATAAATGGCGATACGACTGTGAGAACTGTCATACTCAAGGGAGTCCACGGTTTCAGCATTAGATTGTGCTATATTCATTTCCATCACATCGTATCACTGCAAAGCTGGATTGGGGTGACTGTTATGAGAAAAATAAGTCCTGCATGAAAATCAACGTGGACAATGGGTGGTAGTCCAATGTGATTCCAACACAGTCCCATTAGTACATACTGTGGTTATTTAACAATACTATACAAATGCTATTTGTCTTTCAATTTACATGTTTTATATTTTTAAATGGTTACTAAATTGTTGGGACTGAAGAGAAATGGTCTAGGGGCGCAGTGAAAAAGTAACTAAGACACCAAGGGCGCCGTGAACTAAGAAAGTTCAGGTAGTCACGGCAAAGTTGTGAAGGGTCTACACAAGTAACTGAGGTTTGAGAAGCAGCATTTAGCCCATCTCACCATGAGAAATGGAACTTTAAAAAATTCCACCAAAAAGCTCTTTTCTGTAGGATGAATGATTCCTTCCTACACTTTCTTCCCATCTCATATGTTGAAATCCTAATCTCCAGAACCTCTGAATGTGACTGTATTTGGAGACACAGCCTTTAAAGAGGTGATTAAATTAGGGTGGGCCCTAATCCAATATCCAATAGGACTGGTGTCCTTATATGAAGAGGAGATCAGAACGCAGGGATGCATAAGACCATGTGAAAACAGGGAAAAGGTGTAATCTATAAGCCAAGAAGAGTGGTTTCAGGAGAAACAAACCCTGTCTACACCTTGATACTGGATTTCCAGCCTTCAGAGAACTGTGAGGAAATAATTTCTGTTGTTTAAGCCGCCTGGTCTATGGTGTTTTTTTATGGCAGCTCAAGCTGTCTCATTCAATTCCTGTCAGAGACTTCAGCACCTCACAATGTCGTCTCTTCCCTTCCTGAGGATCCCTGGCCCCTCGAAAAGTGAACCACAGAGACCCCAACTGACTCTCCAGTAAGCATCCTACCTCCATGCCAATGTCATCCTTTCCATGTTTGTGATACAGTAATATGCTAATAACAGAATACAAATTTGAAGCAAGTCACCTTGCCTCATCAGAGAGGGGAAAGTACTCCCCAACATGACAAGGCCTCTCAACCTCTGCCCAAGGGCCTAGAGATACATGTTCCAAAGTCATGCTCAGTCTATAGGAAAAGTTGTTTGACCCGCAAGCTCTGGATGCAATACAAGTAAGAGGCAGGAGCCTGAGATGTCGCCCAAGTCTCTGCATGCTCCTTCACACATCCCCAGAAACACAAGTCTCCCAGGCATCATTTTAAAGCCCTGGGCTGTTTCATAAAACGGTAGTTCCAATGATATTAAGGCTTCATGCTTGCTCTTCTGTGAAAATTTTTCCATGCATCACTTAGAATGGAAATGAAAGCAAGCCCTTACTTAGGTCCAAGCTGAAAGCATGCACTCTTGTCAATCTACACCAACATGCTAATAAGAACAGCAACTCACACATGAAGTTTGTCTTTTTAAAAAAAGTTAGATGAAGAGATGCAAACATCTGACTCTAATCTTTTGTTATTTAATTTAAAATTTAATCAGCTGACTAAAGCATCACTTAGATTCTAAATAATGTGCTGCTCTCATCTGGAGAATCCAGGCTCCCGGCACTGTAGAGCCTTCGTAATTAACAGTGTTTTCCATGATATGCAAAAGTTCTAAAGGTGCCTCACTGTCACTGGAAGAAACCCAAGATATCGTCACCATGGAATTTCCAATTCGCACATTTCACAATATTCCTATTTAGCACAAATCGACATATTTGAAAACCTTAAAGCAAAAGCTAGCCTCTCTTTCAAAATAATTAATATATTTTAATATTTGTATAAGGAAATAACACATTAGTACAAGCTGCTTTTATGAAAGGGTATACTAAGTTCAACAGATTGAAGGACTGTGTCTGCTTCCTGGAGATGGAACATGTAACAACAACAAAAGCCAAAAACGGGGAGAAAAAGGAAGGAGGATTTTCCAGTTTCAGTTGACCTCTACTTCACTGCTGAGAGTCTAAAATGCACCCCCTAGAGGAGAGCCATCTTCATCTTCGCCTCCCTGCCCCATGGCAGAAGATCACCGCAGTGCAATGAGAGCTGTGGCATATACAAATGTCACCTGTGTTGTGGGGCATGCAAAAGGTCGGACACCATTATTACCAACGAATTACTCTGTTAAGTAAGTTCAGTGTCCGGGACTAACCCCACTAGATGAAACCTGCTGGTCTCTGAAGCATCGCACTTTGCATTGCCTTCCATAAATAGTTGCACTGGAAATCTGAAACACAACCATGGCTCTATGGCAAAATCTTTTAAGAGGTGAGTCTGTCTACTGGAGAAGAAGGTACAGTGTCAGTGACTTTTACTGGTAGGCTGCATTCAAAGTCAGCGAGTCAATTAAAATTACTCTTGCAAATTCCTTTGGTCATTTGCAGAGGGTCAGGTTTTCTTTCTCTTCAAGACAGTTTCAGAGGCAATTGTCTTTACATCACTGTAAGAGGCAGAGAGCCTAAGAAGAGCACCAGGAGCTGACACTAAAGAGGGACTCCCCCATTCCATGCTTACACTGGTACATACACCCCCTAAATGAAATGGCAGATGAATTCTACATATTATTAAGTAATATTTCTCCCTGTGAGAATATATAGTATAAATATATGGCATAACTTCATTCTCTGTACTATTTCTTGAATTTATATCTTGATGAAAAGATCCTCTGGGTGTCCCAAGCTCCCCATAAACATGGGCTTTGACCATGGACTGCACCCCACCCCCCAAGACTGAGGCATTTTTGTATTTAACAATTACAGTCAATTCTCATTATTCACAGTAATTATTGCTATGAACTCGAAGTCTGTGTCTCCCAAAATTCGTATGCTGAAACTTAATTCCCCAGTGTTTGGAGACTGGGCTTTGGGAGGTGATGAGGTCACGAGAGTGGCACCCTCATGTATGGGATAAGTGCTCTAAAAAGCACCCCAGAGAGCTCCCCTGCCCATCCCACCACGTGAGGTCACAACAACAACATGGCTGTCTCTGAACTCAGAGGCGGCCCTGATCACCCACCGAATCTGCCTGTGCCTTGATCTTGGACTTCCCAGCCTCCAGAACTAGAGAAATACATGCTTGGTGTGTAAGCCACCAGTCTGTAGCAGTACAAATGGACTAAGCCAGTTACGCTCTCCCAAGTGCCTGAACACTGCGTTAGGGAATGCTGGTCCACTGTTCCTAGGGGACACACAGGGTTAGGCTCCCTCCAGCCTCTGGTCACATCGTCATCACATAACCTTGCTTCATGCATGTATCTGTTTAAAGGCACCTTATTTAATGCATAATGTTGATTTATTAATGTAGATGTCATAGCCACCAGCACTACAACTCAGGTCTGAACAACACTTCTCTCCCTAAGGCACATCACAGCCTTCTCCTGCTTCTCAGAGCAAACGCTACACAACACGTGGGCTTAGAGGCCACTTTAAACAGCAAAAACACCCACAAACGCCACAAAAGCGTGAAAAACATGGCACGAAACAAACTGCAGAAAGGACACTAGTTTACAGTGTGCGCTGAAACAGGAAGGCAGAGCGTCACCCAGTTCCGCCTTACCCGAGAACGAGTGTCCCAGGCTCGCTGCGTGTGCTGCTCTGCACACGCAGACAATGACCATGCAGAGCCACACACCGATCTGGGATTACAAGTGGATGCTTCCGAGGAGGCATATCCAAACAGGAAACTCACGAATAACGAGTATCGGCTGCATTAGGATCCCGTCGGTCTGCTCCCTCGTGGCTCGTTTTAGCCTTTCTTCTCCCCTTCAAGTCAGGGACATGTAGTAAACGTGACACAGCACGTACCTGTATCCTGAGCAACAAATGCCGGTTGGCGTGCTCCAGCTTCTTCTGTCGGTTTTCCAGTTCCTTTGTGCGTTGCTGTTCTCGTTGTAATTTTCGGATATAGTCCACAGATGCTTTCAAAATGGTTCCCTTGTTCCAGCGCATGTCTCTGTGAAGAAAATGGAAGGAAACAGACTTTTGTATGGTTTGAAGTGCAATGAAAGCTCAATATTCAGAGCATTCAGCTTCTGAAGACGTGATAACAATTATAAGTAGGTAATAGGTATCCCTCAGTGAGTTCTTGCCACGTGCTGGACACTGGCCCCCCGCATCTTACGCAGGATCTTACTTAACCCAGATGAGCCCCCGGAAAGGGAGGGACGCTGCGCACGAGCTGAAACAGACTGTTGATGGAAATTGCTGCGCATCATGGGGCTCCTATAAGGTGGAGTCGGGACCTAGTCTATGTCTGTGATTGCAAAGTCAATGTTCTTAACACTATATTAAATAGTTTTGGCTTTCTACGGCTATAAAAACTAACTCAGACAGACGGAAAAAGCTGTGGTAAAAAAGTTCCGTGAGTTCTCACTACTCGACTGTGTATGGCACAGAAGCGGCATCCTTGGATTTTAGCATGGATTTTCATGGGCAGGTTATCTAACTTCTCTCTGTTTTCATTTCCTCATGTATAAAATGGTGATAGTACACTTATAGGAGCAGCCTCCTAGATACGTTATTGGAATCAAAGGAGGTACTTTTATCAATATGCTGTGAAAAGTTTAGAATGCAATTCAAATAATGGAGCAAACACTTGTTAAAGGGCGTAATGTAATTATAATTGCTATCTTTAAATAGCATTTACTATGTGCCAAATATTTCTACAAGTATTTTATAGCTCATTTAATTATATCAACCTCAGTGGGTAGGCATTAATATTACCCTCATTTTACAGATTCGAAAACTAAGGCACAGAAATGGTAAGTAATTTGCCCAAGGTAACACAGCTGGGAAGTGGCAGCTCCAGGAAGCCTTGATTATCTGGCTCCAGACTCCATGCCCACATACTGTTTTTCCGCTTATGTGACTGAGTCCTCAAAACAACTAGATTAGGCAGAAATATTCTGAACCTCCCCCCCTTTTTTTTAACAGATGAGAAAAATGAAGCATAAGCACCAAAGTATCTTCCCCAAGGTCTGACATCTCGTAAGGGACTGTTTTGGAATCCAAACCCAGGCAGCCTGAGCTCTGTGCCTCTCGGTTTTTAATCACTATGATGTAGGATATTTCTTGTGCCGGGATCGTAGTCTCGTGAAGCCAAAGAATGGAGACATGGACCAGAGAGGTAGAGTTTGTAGCAGAGGACAGTTTTATTGAAGCAAGAGAAAGGTTACAGCTCCCGAGCGGGAAGGGGTACCCAGAAAATGGGATGCCCACTAGCTAGGGTAAAAGGCTAGAGTTTTATACTGTTTTTTCTGCCTGGCCGGGGGAATGTTGAAATACTGGTGGTGCTTGTTATTAAGGGGTTTATCGGATTTGCTCTGTTGCTCAGCCTTTCTAAAGTCCTCCAAAATGGCTTTGTTGCTCTGGGGCATGATTGATGTCTCTGTTCCAGTATGAGGAAGTTTACCCTATAATTTTGAAGGAATGGCTAGTTTAAGGAATTGCCAGTTTTTTCTTATCTTTGCTCAGTTTACCAGGGAATTCCTGACTGCCTGATCTTATACTAACTAACATGTCTTAACTATAGCTTTAATGTATTCATATGTGAGAAAATTAAAAATGCCATTAAAATGTACGTAAAAGAGAGTTGAAAAATTTAAGAGCACTCCAGAAAAATAATTAATGTAATTATAATTACATAAGTGATACTTCTATAGCCTTTAAATTAATCTGAGCCCTTTTACAGACAATAATCATGATGATAATGACTGATAATGATGAAAACAAAAACAATTTAATGTATGGAAAACCTCCTAAACCATAATCTATAGCTACTAAAAGCAGATGCAAGTGTCAGGTGGGACATGTGAATGGAGGAGGGCCATTAACAAAAGCCATCAAGTAATTGATCCTCATATGGATTAGATGAAGAACAAAACAGAAGTTCTCTCCCAGGAGAGGCAGAGGTACAGCCCCAGAAGAATTCCTGGGGGTTGATCTCTGGGGTCTGAAGCCAAAGACAGCAACCCAGGAGGTGTCCTGAGATACTCAGACTGAGCATAGAGCCAACCTGCTTAATGTTCAGGGCTAAGATCAAAGAATCAGAAAGGTCAGCAGCCGGAGAGAAAGTAACTATTATGATAGACGCCTTAAGGAAACCGGTAAGGTGAGACACCGGTTACTGAAACGGGCATGCGCCTACTCAGTTTTTAAGAAGTGACTATTTCAACCAATTATCTTGGGTTTTGCTTCCTTGGGAGACCCAACCAATTAATTATGCTTCTGGGCTTAAACGAAGGGTTTATAAACTTTTTTTTTTTTTTTTGTAATGAGAAAGGCCCTTCTTTTCATACAGAAGCGAACACAGATCTCTAATACATACATCAACAAAAGCAGAGCTGTGCTAGGGAAGGAGAGAGTATGGGGCTGAGACCCTCGTCAGCTAGTCTGTGTCTCTACAGCAGTCCCAGAGTCTGTTCCAGAAACCTGGTATGGGAAAACCCCATAATAGATTATAGTCCATTTTACCTTAAAACAATACCTACAATTAAAGATCATTATCAGTTCAGATTATAAACACGTAAGTGTTCTAATACAATGGAGAAAGAAGATATGCAAATAGAGGCTTTCACTCCAGCCCTATAATTGCATAATATGTTGCTAAAGATATTCACATGCTACAGTTTAAAAGAATATGCTAAAAAGTGAGAGCTGATAAAGAACAGGAAAATGGGAATTCAATTTCAACTATCATGCAAGACTGACTATAGGAAATGAAGGTCACAGCCCCTAAGTAGGATAAATTTGTGCTGCAGAACAGAGAATTTGAATGTTTTGAGTTTCAAAATGGCTTTCCTTGAAAAACCTGGGAAAGCAAAATGTTGATGATGGAAATTGTGCTTGAACATTAATCAGAACCACTTTACAATGGGCAATGGTTTTATTTTATTTTGTCACAAATTCCCTGACAATAATGTGAATAGCAAATTTAATAAGCCTTGCATGAATAATGCTTGATTTCATCTTTACATTTTATTAGGTAGCTAAAAGGTCATATTCACAGGCTAATTTCATAGAATGCCTGTGGGAGCCATTAAAGTGTATAGATCCTCTAGCCCCTTAACTTCAAATGGGCCAATTTCTAATGGATAAAAATCGTGTATTTGTTGTCCTATTTGCTGATGTTGCTAGCAGGAAAATTATCTTTACAACTGTTGTCTCTGAAAAGGGATGATGAGAGGTAGACTGAAAGCCGAAATCCCAAATTGTCTGACCTGTACTTAGAAGAGGATTAAAAATTACTTGTTTTCTAGAAGGGTAAAACATACATAGAATATGCAAAAAACAATTGGTTGGTAAGTATTGTTAAACTTGAAGTCTCCAATATCAGCTCTCAGAGCCTAGAAACGTTGTACAATTTGAAGAATAGTCAACAAATCTTGCTTTAACAGCTACTGAAATCTGTCCTGCATGAACTGTTAAAATATTTTTTTTTTAGCAGCTAAGTGTTTATTTGCCAAGGATTCTCAGATTTCAGAAAGCTACCTCCTCTCACTCAAAGCTAAATATCTCATGTCTAATCATCCTTTTGTGTAATTCAGTTTACTTCTCTCAAAATTTTAGTTTGATGAGACTAATCAAAGGAAGGTGTAAGAAGTATTTAAGAATGAAGCCAAAGAGAGAAGGGGGACTTCTTTACACTAGTTTTTGTAACTGTGCACTTTTGCAACATATGAAAAAACATTAAGGCACAAAAAAATATATGATGCAGATTAACGCGCAATTGTACTCACGGATCATTTGACTTGGGAATCAAAGTACCTAGCTCTTTAATGCGGTCATTTATGTTAAATCTTCTTCTTCGTTCAACTTCAAGAAAAGAGCACAGAAAGGACCATTAGTAATAGTGCCACGTTTGCATTAACACAGCTCATTAAAGGCAAGCATGTATCAACTTCACCAACAGGACCATGTAAACCTGTATTTCTGTTTTCACAGGGTTTTGGTACTGAGATTAAACCACTTTTAAAAAAGAGCTACCTTCTATCATGTCCAAAGCTCTGAGATATACAGTTTCTCATTTGAACCTATAACAACCCTGAAATTAGAATTACTATCCTCAGTTACAAATGACAAAACCGCTTTGGAGATATTAGGGACCTGAGGAGGACACCAAGCAGTTGGCGGGAATGGCCCGAACTCAGCCTTGACCCTCAGACTGGGGCGGCCAACTTCCTGCAAAGGGCCAGGTAGTGAGTATTTCCGGCTCTGCGGGCTAAATTGAGACAAAAACTGAGGCTATTATGTAGGCACTTACATAACAAGAGAGAAAACAGATTCCCACAAAGTATTCATTGACAAAAGTCAAAATGTGATAATATTAACCGTGTATATATTTTTTGCAGTGCAAGTCTACTAACAAGAAGCACTGGATGCTAAAATTTGGATTTTATATATTTTTCACATATTCCAAACTGTATTCTTGTTGTGACTTTTTTAACCTTTTAAAAATGCAAAAAACATTCTTAGTCCACAGGCCATACAAAAATCCTTGCTCTGGCCCAGAGCTGCCCAATAGAAACGTAACGTGAGTTACATATGTAATTAAAAATTTTCTAGTAGCCATGTTAGAAAAGTAAAAAGAAAGAGGTGAAATTTACTTTAGTATTTTATTAAACCCAATATATCCAAAATATTATCATTTCAACATGTAATCAATATAAAAAGTTATCAATTCAATATTTACATTCTCCTTCATACTAAATGTTTGAAACCCAGCGTGCATTTAACACATACAGCACATCACAATGTGGACAAGCCACATTCCAAGGGCCCGAAAGGCAGATGTGACCAGGGACTGCCAGACTGGTAACACACCTGAGAAATTAAGTGCAGCAGCCTTAACCACACCGTGCATCCTAACAGCATTCCCCTCTTATAAATCCAGCTGTGTGTCCAACTAAATTATCATCTTCGGGGTGGGGGTGGGGCGAAGGGGGGCAGGCGTGGAGATAGTAAAGCATATGAGTTAATAAATGTTTCTAATTTGCCTGTAGCCTGGCAAAAATAAATTCCAAATAATGTAAGGTCTAGTAAGTTGAATTAAAAATGTTAACATTTTATGTTAAACATATGATTATCCTATACATATTTTATTATTATTAAATTATTTTGTATAAATTAATACATACTTATATTTGACCCACTTAAATAATAATATTCACTATTTTCCTAATATATATTGCATTTTTTAAGCTGAGTGATTATTTCTAAGATTAAATTAGTTAATATATATTACTGTCTTCTCATTAGAGTTTTATAAAATAGAAATAGTAAGTGATAGATACTCAATGGTTCTGAAGAAAGAATTTCTGGACCTCTGATCTTCTAGCTAACCTCCAAAACTCAGAAGCATGACATGTTTTCTTACTTCTTCCATAATAAAATCTTTTGGCTCTACCCTCAAATATGTCCAGAATCTGTCCACTTCCAACCTCCACTGCTCTCTGATATAAGCCACCATCACTTCTTGCTTGGGATGCTGCAACCCTATTAAGTGGTACCTGTGCTTCCCCATGCCCACCACCCCCTACCCCTTTGGTCCACCTAGAACACACCAGCCACAGGGATCCTGTTAAAACATAACTCCGAGCGTGCCAAACCTTTGCTGAAAATCCTGCAATCACTTCCCATCTCACCCAGAAAAAGCCAGGTCCTCAAGGCATCCTTCAAGCATCCCTTTGACCTAATTTTCCACTCGTCTCCCACTCTGACCACATCTTCTATCGTGACTCATCTGTGTTCCCCCTTTCACCCCATAATTTCTTGCTATTCCTCAACCAAACCTCACAGACTCCCCACTTTGGGAATTCATACTGCTGTTACCCCTGACCGGACACTCTCCCTCAAATACCTGAATGGCTCTGCCATCACCTCTCTGAGGTAGGGACTCAAATTGACCTATTAGTCTCCCCTGCCCACCCTATTTAAATCTGAACCATCCCCTCCCGTGTCTATCCCCTTGGCTGCACTTTGTCTCCTCATAGAACTTTCTACCATCTACTGTCTGCATACTTTATGCATGTAGATATGTATATATGTGTTTGTTCATCGATGCATTCCAAGCACCCATATGAACCTAACACATAGTAGGCCCTCAGTAACTCTGTATTAAATAAAGATTGATAGTTACAGTACAATAATCACTAAAAATGATTCTGCATCTCTATTTTCTCACTTAACAGCATATTATTGACATCGCTCGCTGTCAACATTTAGATGTACCACATTTTATATTTAATTCAGTGCCTTCCTGCCCCAATTATTTTTACTATTCAAGTGATATAAGCTTGTAAAAAATTGCAAAGCATATAAAAGTGTAAAGGAAAAGGTAAAAGCCACCTCTTTACACCACTGAATACCTATATGCCTAAGGAAACTGATAATGATAAGGGTGACTCCTAGGTCTTCTCCAAGTGCTACACACACACACACACACACACACACACACACACACACACATCCCGATACAGTATGTTCTTTTTATGTAATGGGACAGTATACATGTTATTCTGTCACTTGCTCTTGCCACTCAGTAATATATTGTAGGTATCATCTAAGTCAGGTGAAACAGACCAATCCTATTCTTAAGAGCCACTGAGTATCCCTTAATGGAGGTGCCATAATTTATTTACAAATCCTCTACTAATGAATAGACTCTTTCCAAGTTCTCGCTCTTTTTCAATGGCATAAGGAATATTTTTGTCAAGGCTTACATGTACATTTCATTCCTAACATAACACTTATCTTATGCTGAAACGCCAACTTAATGTATTTGTTTGCTCATCTGTTCTGTCTGCCCCAACTCGAATGTAAGCTTATAGGGATGAGAAACCTGTCTGTCTGGTTCACTTCTATAGAAAAGTGCCTTGCACATAATGGGAGCTCCACGGATAGTTATGAGTGAATAAATGAATGTGTTCTTTTGTGCATTTTGGCAAGTTCTCTTACAAGATAAATTCCTAGAAGAGGAAGAGCTATGCCAACGGGCACTACTTGAGTCCTAATTTCCAATGGTTAGATGAGGTTTTAGGATTGTTTTGTAGCCCTCAGAGTTTGAGCTAATCATGTTTGTACTTTACTGGCAACCATGAACTTGAGAGATTAGGTGCCTAAGTAAAGGTAAATATTGTTTTTGACAAGATTTATTATAGAATATGCCTAACTATCTTATTTCTAAGTTATTTTAAAAAGATAAAATATCTAAGAGTAAAATTACTTGGAAGCTAGAGGAAACCTTAGAAATATTAATTCAAATCTTTTGTTTAAGAGATGAGGAAAGTTTCTCACCTCTGAAATGGGAACTGGGAAGGGCAATATCTATTAAAAGAAAAAAATTCACCCCCTCTGGTATACAGCAAGTCCATTTCTCAGTACCTAACCTGGAGAAACGAACTCCCCCACAACTCCCCCNCGAGGCATATACACAAATGTTCACTGTGGCATTGTTTCTAACAGGGAAAAACTAGAACCAAAATAAATGCTTAGCTGTACGTGGGTTACTAAAATTACACAGTCATACTGTGGAATATTATGCAACAGTTTTTAAAAAGTGGATGGATCTAGATTATTAACAGCAAAAAGTCTTCAGGATATACTGTTGAGTAAAAAAGCAAGAAGCAACAAATACGGACAATATGATACTGCTTGTGTTAAATCCTGAACGAAACAATGCTTTTTATTCTCTGTGTGCATGTGTGTGTATTCTGAAATACATGAAAAGAGGCTGGGAAGACCAACAGCAAATTGGAAAAAAAAAGGATCATTCCTATGATTAGAGGAGAACTTTTGCCTTATTCTATAATTTTTATAAGGACAAAGTATTTATACATAACTCATGTTCTTAAAAATCAATTTAGGAAAAAGAGGACAGGAGGCTATGAGATGAGAAATTCACATATACACGCAAACTATTTCCTACCTCCAAGCCCATCCTTTTATTTTAACCGTGCAGCCTTTGTTACTTTATAAAACAAAAATCTTAAGTTTTTATAGAAATAGCTTAAAGATTTGATCAAGAGTAAATTAAATACATAAAAAATAATTGTAAGTGTTAGGAGATCTTTTTTTAAAATCACAGTTAAAGTGAGAAATTTAGGAGGCTACCTCACCCACTGACTGACTCCCCTCCAGATGTTTTATCATTTTTTTTCCCCAAATCTCACTGGAGAAAGTAATCCCATAACCCCCTTTTGTTAATAAGTTCCAGTGTGAGCAACACTTATTATTGGGTAGTTGTCCCTCTCTCACACACATACACACATGCACACAAAACCATTACTATAAACAAGGAAAAGAAATAGTTCTCAGGATACTGAAAAAAATTTCAGTTTGATCTGAGATAAAACATGGGAAGAATATATACCTTGGTTTCTCTGAAAAACAATTTTCTCCACAAAATGTACCTTTAAAAGCTATAGAAAGCAATTTCCCTCTAAAATTTCTGGAAAACTTTTGATTTAAGGAGGAACATCAAGTCCAATGTCAAATCCCACGAACATAAAGCAACTTACTCAAGTTGTGATTGTCCTTTTTTTGCCTCTCTTTAGCCAATGCTCTCGCTTCAGACTCTGTGGGAAAAATACACGCTGTGCACGTGAATGAAGTAATTAGAAGTTGGAACTGTTCAAGGCACACAATAACGTAAACTACAAAACATTTCATTTGCTAAATATATGGAAGTTTATCTGACTTGATTCTAAATAAATGGGTTTTTTTAACTTATGACTTTTAAAAAGCTTGCATTTTTCCAATAGCAATATATATCAAATAAATGCAAAAACTTGGCTTCTGCAAGATGGTAAAAGAAGAGTAACAAGTATGTCTGACCACTGTAAACATACAGGTATTAACAAGAAAAAAATAACTAGAAAACTATGGAAATTTGCTGTTAATAATCTATTATCAAGAGTCAATTTTCTTTTCAGGCAATAGAACTTTTCAATTTTTCTTTGATGCCTTTGTAACACACTGACATGGAAACACAGCCAGTGAAGCAAATATATGTATATATGCTTATCATATGTGTGTGTGTGTATATATATATATATGTATATATACACACGCACACATAATTCAGAAGCTAAAGTGTTTCAATTGGGAAGGTCAATCAAAATCATCTTCTGCTTTCTTCCTCACATAGCATGACAGGCAACTTTTATTTACATATCCACCAATCCAGCATCTTCATTTTTTTGTTTGTTTCCTTTTGTTTTTTGTTTTCAGCTTGCCGGTCCCACCCCATGGTTCTCTGCTTGTCAACCTCACTCCCCAAGTGTGGACCAGCTCTGGCCAAGGCTACCCAGTGACCTTGGCCATCTAGTGGGCTGTTACCATATCCTCCCCACTGAGGCTGCACACTGGGCCTTGAGAAGGAGGGTTCTCTCCCAAGTTTGGTACTCTCCTGCAGTCTCGGGGTACCCGTTAGTCTTTATCCTCTCTTAGTAGCTGATTGCCTGTATGTGGTTAACGAAAACTTGTTTTAAACTTTCCCCATTCAAATCACTGTGTGGTTTCTGCTTCCTGACCGGACCCTACTGCAGATGGGAAACCGACTAACAGAAACAATTTGCCGACCCCACCTGCAGGTCAGGTCTGCTGACTCCTAAGCCTGTTTTCTTCTGGCTGCCTCATGCTGCCTTTGAGCTGTAAGTGGTCAGAACCTCAATTCCTGTCCATTTTCTCCTTTTCCTGGCATTTTACCCTTGTCCTCTCTTGATGGATCATTTCCTAAGATACCAGTGACTCTAGAAGTGTATTGTCCATTATATCTGCTATTTTTTTTTTTTTTAGCTGAGCCATCCATCCTGCCACCTGTTGGCAGCTCAGTAGCAGCTCAGCTTGGGCCAGGAATCAAACCGCTGTTGCTCAGAGCTCAAACTCTTGAGCGAGCTTTTAACCAACTGAGCCACTCAGCCGGCCCTATCTGTTACTTTTTTAATTTAATAAATTTATACCCCCTTCACCCATTTCTCCCACTCCCCACCCTTGCTTCTGTTGTTTTCTTTGTTTTTGAAGGAAAATATCATACACATAATTGAAAACTTTACTTTGCACTCAAGTAGTAAGAATTTTATTCATGTCACTCTAATCATATTTTATCATTATTTAATATAGATCTCATTGAGCAGTATTTTCTAAGACTTCATGGTGCTTTTCCTTCCTGGTAGGGTATCTATTTATTTGTTGGCTTTTGATGGCTTCTATGTATTCATTAATTACTTATATTTTTTAACCCAAATCAAAGATTTTTTTACAATGTCTTTCTCCTGACACAATTTTCTGAAGAATTTTTTAAAAGACAATCTTGAACAGGACAGAAATTGTTTTGCAGCAAATGTATATTCTATAGTCTCAGTCTGTTCACTCAATCCTGCAGGATGCAAGGACCAAATAATCAAAAGGGGATGATGTGAGGACCATAAAACTCAGCATGGCAGAATGCCAGTTCTAATGTAGCTGCAGCATGTTTTAATGGCCAAATGCCTTCCCTAAAGCGTTAAACAAAATGGTGAAATAGGTAATTACACACTTGCCTCAAGAAAAAACAATACCCATTGCTCCATTTTATAATTTATTTTTTACTCTGTGTAATAAATCTTTTGCACCTGATACAACAAAAATAACAGGAGGTGTCTGAAGATGCAAGAAATATATTCTTACCCCATCCCAACTGTGGGCTTGACTATCAAAGGAAAAGTCAGACCAGGACTCTCAGACTTGAATGCCTCTAGGGACTTGGCAAGTACCATAAACACCAGACTGGGTGGAAACATTTTACAACTGAAAAGTGTTTCTGCTGCCCTTACCCCAGGGGGACAGCAGTCTAGATACAAAGATGGGTGTCTGGAAGAATGGTGTCTTAGAGTAATGGTGGCCCGATTCCTGGTATCTCAAGAAATTCTGGAAATCAGTATGTTCAAGTATAAATACTCCATCTTAAAATACTTATCAATGTTTTAACCACTGCATAGCCCTACGTCTGTGAGTTGGAAATAGTCTGGAGGTGACTATTTTAGAAACTTTGCTTATTAGAAAACTAACAGGAAATCCTCAGTAAGTGGCACATTTGCTAGGTATTTACCTGTGAGCTCCCTTTTGATGTTGGGAAGGTTGGCGGGACAGGAGTTGCTGATGGTGAGGCCTGGGGGTGGCAGTCCTTGATTGCCATAAAGGTCAATCAAGTTTCCGGACACAGGTAACTGGAGAGAGAAAAACAATAACACAAATGAGCTGTTGAGCAATGCCTAAGTGATTCAGCTGAAGCCCATCTCCTAGTCCAGACTTTATTTAAAGGAAATGGTTGGATGTAGAAAGTAATGTGTTAAAGTCAGAAAACAAGAAATGTTTACCTTTTTATTCACTCACAGATACATGTTCTCCTTCGCTAGTTTCCTCTTAAGAGGAAAGGATGTGGAATCTCACACCCACACATGGCTACTCTACCCAGCCGACAGGTTTATTCTGAGGGCGGACACAATGAATAACATAGTGAGCTCATCACCTAGCACATCTAGTAGCATATAGTAGAGGTTCAGTAAACATTGGTTATCACTGTAAAATAGGGTTTTATACAGCACGATGTTTTCCCCCAATCGGGTGTTGTCATCAAAGTCAATTTTCTTCCTTCCCTCTTTTCCTCTCTCTTCCTTTCATAAGGAAAAGCAATGAAAAGTGTTTTCTCATTGAAAAAGAAATGGCTTCCTATTGCTAAAGAAAAGCTTTCTTCCTTGAAACTGAAATCTTCCACAAAGCCACGAGAGGGAGCTAACTGACTTTAACAAAAGAATAAAAGTTGACACACACACACACACAAAAGAAAAAAAGCATTTAGCTTCCTCAAATTAGCTTAAGAGTGGTTTTCGCTAGTTCTGAATTAAATATTTTAAAGTAGTGACATTATTTTTTCCCAGCATTGAGTTCCTTTTGTTGTATGTGCATTTCCCTGTAACTAGTTCATGGCAGGAGTTTGATGTGCCCATTTTTGTGGACCTAAGAGATCCAAGACATTTCTTCTTCCCACTCCCTGAAATAAAGTTCTAAGTATTAACTACGGGGACACAGTTACGTGACTGTACTACAACTTCTGCCACAAAACTTCCCATTTGCAGCTTAATTCAATTCCTATAACTGTTATCACTGGGTATGACTTTGTATCACTTAGCCCTTCCCTTTCTTGCTTCACGCTCTGAATTGCACTCTACATTTGAGAAATGCAATTTAGATAGTATTTAAGTGTGATAAAAATGTTTAGTGACCAAGCGGAGTAAAGATTGTACTTCAATATCTACCTTTCATTCTCTCAAGTAGCCACTAACATAGAGATGAAAATATCCCACAAAATAAACATAGAATCAAATGTGTTTCCTTGCATTGGTAGCCATCAGACATCTATTCCTACCATGACTTCTAAATAAATACTCTGAACCCCAAGCTAAAGAGCTGAGAAGAGCTGTACACAGAAGACTCTTCCTGACAGGTTAACATGACACTTGCTCTGCCATGACTGGGTTGGGGGCAGGGAGGACAGGCAGCTCAGCAGGCACCTGTCTTTTTTCCACTCAGTCTTCTGCTCCTTGTTGAAGGAAGGATTAATAATATGTAAAATGTAATACACGTATCCTACAACACAAATGCATCTATGAGTAAACAATGCATTGTGTTAATTTAAAATGCCCTTAAACCATATTTCAGGGCCCTCTAGCTAAGAAACTGACAAAAAAGTGACTGATTATTAGCTGTCATTTCATGAAGCTGTTTTATTGGAAACAGGTCATCTTCTTAGGGTCAGCTCTGCCCTGTGTGTGTTTAGTTTTATTTGTGTCCAGCTTAACATGCAGAGTGAAAGGTGCTAAAATGTCTCAATACAGCACTGTGAGGAGACAGTGGAAATTATAAAGGTGCTATGACATCTCATAACCGCCCCCCCCCCCCGAGTCCACAGATTTATTCTCCTATTTTTCTGAAGTTTCAGTTTGGGAAAACTATTGGGTATTAATACACCAAGAACATGACTTCAAAGTTCAGTACAAGCTAAAAAGATTATTCCCATAGCTTGAAAAATACAAATCATAGCTATCATGTCTTCAAATGGAAATTGTAGGCAAAACATGCTAGTGTGTTATGATTATGATTTGTTAGGGAATAGGCAAGTGACATGTGCAGCTAGCTTTAAAAAAATCCCCTAAGTCATCAGTGGATCTACTTTGGACAGACATCTCATTGTAAGTTTCTCCAGGACAAGAACTATTTTCTAACCATATTCTAAAGGAAGATGATATGTGTACATATACTTAATAAATGTAGACTGAGAGAGAGAGAGAGGGAGAGAGAGGGAGAGAGAGGGAGAGAGAGGGAGAGAGGGAGAGAGGGAGGGAGGGAGAGAGGGAGGGATAAAAAACTGAGAATGAGACTGAGACAGACACGGTGGGGTGGAAACAGGAAGAGAGCCACACGTGGGCAGAGGGAACAGAGGTGGAAAGACAGATGGATGAGCAGGTGGGGGAGGGGGGGGAGGCAGAGAGCAAGACTGGGGGCGACCCAGAGAAAAGCAGGTGGGGGAGGGGGCTACAAACTTAAGAGAAGATGGCTGTGATTGGAATGAACTGACAGCGCCCACTGAGAAGGGAGAGGACTTAACCTCTGTAACAAGATGCCTTATCTTATCCACTGAGGTCAGACATCATTACTTCCAGTCAAAAAAGCACCTTATAACCCTCTATCTAGTTCTCTAAAAAATGTCTAGCTTTGGCTGCTTTTCCAATCCTTGCCCATCACGAACTGGCAGCATAACGCCTGCCATAACATTTTTCTGAAGAAAATGGAATTTTGTGGATGCCTACTCGGGGCCAGGCATAAAACTAGACAGGTACTTCGTGTATGTTATCTCACTGATTTTACAGAAAGAAAAGCCATGGTTCTAGTTGTCTGAACAGAGGTTTTTGGTAGGAGGTTAATGTCTCTTGTTCATAGCAGTATTTGGGGGGCAGTATAAATCTGCTAATATTAACCAATTAGAAACTGTAATTTTCAATCAATTTCCAACTGGATCTGAGCAACTGAAAACCCAGTTCTCACTAACCTACTATGGAAACTCAAATTTACAAAATGATAGTGCAGCACTTTATACCCTGGGCTTAGGCATCAGAGACCTGTGCTAAAACCTGAACCTCTCTGGGGTGTGATGTCCCCCTTTGCAAAGTGGCAGTAATATCACTCAGCTCACAGGTTTTGTAAGAATTAAATGAGACAGTGTAGGTGAAACAGTGCCTCCTACATATGCGATCAGGAAGTTGCTGTGTTTGGTAATATTAAAATTTTCTATGAAGTACTGTATTCATACATGTTTGGACATCCCAGGTCATTTTCACTATGATCCACAAAATCACCTGCCATGTTAATTAACAAGTAGCCCACCAACTATGACACCAATTTTACTAGACTTCAGTGCAAACCTGAACACAGAAATCAGGGGATCTGCAGGGCCGAACATCCTCCAATGGACAGGACGGCCCCCCATGGGACAGAATTATCTATCTCAAATCTTAATGGCGCCAAGGCTAAGAGTCCTTGAACTGAATGGTGGCTCTCGCTCTTTGAATTAATGGTTGTTATTTTGAGGCCACTAAAAGGAAGGTTGGTTAAAATAATATGGCTTTCTAATTATTAATAAAACTTTGTTTCCTAGCCATGCGTATTTAAGAATTCTTTGGTTCTCCTTCTGGGTTAGAAAATTCCCCCATAAACAAGTTAACATCATAATTAGGTCAAAATAACATCTTTGGAGCTAAGGAAGAAAAGAAGCATCTTCTGTGAACAGATATGTTGCATCTTCGCTGGGTTTTTATCCAGCATGTTAACCTGATGGACAAGATTTCACCCCAGCGTACAAGCTACACCGTGGACAGATAGAAGCCATAGTCTAATCAGGACAAATAAAGAGAAGGCAGACACACGTGGGTGTGCACCCCAAACTTGGTCTGAATGGAGTTTTTCAGTGTTATGCTCCACCAAAATGAATATTTTTCCAAGTCAATGATCATTGTAAAGTGTTATTATTTTTTTTCTTTGGATGGTCCCCTTCTCTGAATATCAATCGGGCACTGTTAGCACAAGGAAACTGGGACTTTTATTCTTTGTTTGTGATGCTACAAGAGGCCCTTGTGCTCTCGGAATAGTTATTTCTAGACTCCAATGCCCTTAGGATAGTTTCCTCTCGAAGTATTCCTTCCACTTTTTTTTAAAGTTAACTTGAAACAAAGCATTTCAAAGAATCAAATAAAAAGAAAAATGCCTAACATAAAAAACATTGTTTCAATTTTACTGTGGAAAAAATTTTAAATGTTAGTAAGTTGTAATAGCTTTGTTATGTAATTTTGATAACCAAAACCCAAATTTATCAGAATAAGAGCTAGTAACTAATATTTGGTGAGAGCCTATCAGGGTCAGGACTGTTCTAAATGCTTTTTTATAGATTAACTCTTAAAATTCTCACATGCATTCTATTGTTTAGATGCTATTATTGCCCCATTTTCCAGACTAGAAAAGTGAGACGGAGAGGTCAAATAACTCACTCAGGAGTGAGTATGTGTTGAATGCAGATGTGTGGCTCAGAGTTTGTGTTCTTAAACCCTATGTTACACTGTCTCTCCCCTAACAGCAAATACTGAAATCGTTTTGTTGCAGGAAGGCTCCAGTGGGGCCACGTTCAGCCTTTGCCAGGGTGGGAATACAGAAGAGAAATGGACACCGGAACAAAGTCAGTGACTTTTGGGGGTGGCTACCAGTTACTACTCCTCTCCTGGCTGGGAATTAATTCACCTTTGCCCAGAGGATCTCTCCTATCTGTGAACCCCCCTGAGATGGCCTCCCTGCTCCTGAATTATCCTTCTCCACTCAAGGTCTCCAGTGGTCTCCTCTTTCCAGACTGGTGAGCCCCATGAGAACAGGAAGCATATTTCGCTCATCTGAACCCACAGTTCCTCGCCCAGTGCTGGTCACATATTAGGCATGTTAAGAAATGCTGCGTCAATCGTAAATGTAGTTTAGAGCAATCAGATAAAGAGGGAATAAGATGCTGACTCTAACGAGACTGACTGAGGAGACATATGTATTGGTCTAAAGGAGAGAAGCAAATGGGGTCATGACAACTCTCTCCAGACGAGCTGTCATGGGGAAAAGTTCTCTGTGAAGCAAGCTGGATGCAGGTCTGGAATTCACAGACTCACTGTGAGGAGTATCTGGGTTATTAAGTATGATGTTATTCTAACATAGATCTGGACACATTATAGGTACTCAATGAATATCACCTGAATAAGACAATATCACGATTATTCGACATTAAACTACACTTAATAATTTAGATACTGTCAAGTACAACTGATTTTTGTAATGCTAAATGCTATACCTGCTTTATGAGATGACTATGTGAGGCAGGTCCTATTATCAGTCCCATTTTACAGATAGGAAGAAGCTATGTAACATGCAAGGGCACTCCATAAACAGCCGACTTAGGACTTGAACCCAGGTCTGATCATAAATCTCCAACTTCTAACCACTGTGCTTTACTGTTTCTCTTTTGAGTCAGTGCATATCCTTCCTTGGAGGCTTTCAAGAAGGTAGGTGTCTGATTTTTTGGGAGAGAATACAGAGGACATACAAGAAGAGCTTAATGCCACGAGTACTAGGTTGGTTCAGATGACTGACTTCAAAGGTCCTTACCATTGGAGAAAAATAAAACCAATGGTTAAAAACAAACAAACAAACAAACAAACAAACAAACAAACAAAAAACCCAAAACATATCAACTCTACAGTCCTCCTGAGTGTGCCCAGGTATCCACTAGACATTGTTGGCAAAATGACCACCCTCAGGGCCGGCCGAGTGGCACAGTTGGTTAAGAGCTTGCTCAAGAGTGCCAGCTCTGAGCAACAGTGGTTTGAGTCCCAGCCTGAGCTGAGCTGCCGCTGAGCCGCCAACAGGTGGCAGGATGGCTCAGCTTAAAAAAAAAAAAAAGAAAAAAAAAAAAAAAGATCACCCTTGTCAGTGAAGTTCTTCTGGGATGCCTAGGCCATCGCTAATTAATGCTGCTAGGGCCCTGAAAACATTGTAAATATACCTGTGTCTTCAGGTATATTTATAAATTCCCTAAGGCAAGCTCCCCCAACTGTTTTGGCTCATGGTCGTCCTAGGATTTTAACTGTCGACAAGTGCAGTCTGCCTCATGGGAGGCACAAAATTGGAAGCAGACGGGTTCCACGGGATTCAACCAAGGTCTCAAAGAGAGTGGGAGAGTTCGGCATGGAAACATGTCAGGATGGCAGAACATTTAGCTCTTTCAAAACCAGGGGATGAATTTAAATGGGTAGGGACTTGACAAAAACTAAAGATCCTAGAAGAGGTTTTGAGGTTTCAAGAGGAGTCCTCCAGTAAGTGAACTTAAAGAACTGGATCAAGATGGAAAAGAAAAGAAAATGCTAACTATAAAAATCTAGTTTAAATAATTAAGGGTTATCATGTTCCCTGGCGAAGAGAACTTATTATAGGAATTTAGGCTTTAAATTTTTTTTTATTTTTTTATTTAACCAAGTTTAAGTGTTATATATATATTCACACGATTGTGAAACAAATCTCCAAAACTCTTCCATCTTGCAAATCTGAAACTCTGTACCCATTAAACAACTACTTCCCTCACCCCTATGGAGGTTAGTCTTTTAAATACTACTTATTAAAGAATATGATAATCTCATGGCATTGCTGTCACAGAAAACAGAAAAGGATTGGCTAGGCTTTCAAAGACCTACCGAGAAGTCCTGACTGACACATCCAAACCACGTAATCTTGGGCAAGACGAGCTAACCTTTCCTAATCCTAAAACTGAGGGCAATTATACCATCCAACTTGACTGACAGAATTACTGCAAAGGCTAAATAAAATCTGCAATAAGACTTCAGCAAAATGGTAACATAAGACACAAATGTAAGGCATGAAATAAACAAACAATACAAGCAAGTCTCCAAATTAGAGAAGTAACATATAAGAGCAAATGTTTCTACTGGTTTATTAACTAAAATTGGAAAAATTTTGCTGTTGAAGAAGTGTAACTTGACTGTCCCTCCATCACCTGTGAATAGTAAGGGACTGTCTTTAAAAACTGCAGTGGGTTTTTAGGCTAACTAGAACAGTACCCACTCCTACACGGTGTGCTCTGTGGTACTTCCTTTGGCAGCAGTGTACTAAGCAGCCATTCGCTGTCAGGAAGAATCGGAAGACCTACTGTCCTACTGAAAGTAGACCTGGACTCCAAGGAACCTAGAGCTTCATAAACTCACGAGAAATTCTTAATGTCCAAGTCATTTATTTGTGATCCTTAGATAATTACCTATTTTATTATTAATAAATTTCTCAATGAATCACTTGCAAAGATAAACTAAAAGTTCAGGAAAAGGGAGAGAACACTGTAAATAGCTCAAGATTTTCTTAAAAAAAATAAGTCGTCAATACCGTATTTGCCATTTGCAAGGCAGGATCCATCAAGCTCAGGATTTCTTCATTATAACTTGATTCTAGGCTAATGATGTCATCAATAACATCATCCATCTGCAGGGAAAAGGTCAATGGAAGAGAGACAGATATAAGCAAAAACTGTGCAAAGCAACCCAAAAAGAGATCCAGGGTCTTTTCTTCCCCAAAGCAGTAATGCTCGTTAGTTAGTCTAAGAACTGTCCTTACTCTCCAAATGTCAATGCCACTGAAGGCCACTAACAGGTGATAAAACAACATTTGTAGCCAGTGCTTAGTGATTCGTAGGCGCCAGGCACTGGGCTCAGGGCTTCTCAGGGGCTAAGTTATTTCCCTCTGACAACAACCCAATCAGGGCAGGTACTGTTAATGTATCTATTTTCCAGGTGAGATAAGGAGAAGCAACTAGCCCAAAGTCACATATGGAAAGAGGTTGAGAGCAACAATTTGAATCCATGTTCTCAACTGCTGTGGTAAACTGCCTGCCCTCACCAGGAAAGACGAACCAGGAAACCACATCTTGAATGACAGCTGCCATTTCCTTTTCTCTGAAGTCTGTATCTCGGACCCTTCCTGGACCCTCCTGGTTGCAGGAAAACACAGGTGGTCATTCAGCCCTTCGCTCCCATGGGGGTGTGTTGGGCACTGTAGCTCTCAGGCCACCGACAGCCCTGCACTGATCTTACAGAGACCTGCAAAGTGAGTTTCTCCGACAGCCGCCCGTGGGCTTGGTGCTTCCCAAGCCTGACACAAGGAGCTGATGTTCCCAATAGATCAGTTCTATTCCTGAAGTACCACAACATCAGTTTTGATAATGACCAACGGTGCTTATATGTGCATTGCAGTAGTTTCAAAGACAAGTATGTGAAAGCATTGCTTTGTAAACACCTCATGTACTTGAGCTGGTTGGTGTTGGGGTGTGTGTGTGTGTGTGTGTGTGCGCGTGCACACATAATGAAATCATAAGCATACAGTGAAATCTCAGAACTCAGAGGCATTCTCCCTTGTGTCTTTTTTTTGCCACTTCCAAGAGGACAGGCTCTCACATCACGGGGCTTGTTGGAACCCTCATTCTCCCACTTTCTGTATTAGAGTCAAAGCCCCCAATCTTTAAGAGCTTCAGTGAGCCAATCTGCAAAATAGGGTAAATAATACTCATTGCCTTATTGGATTCTTGTGAGATTTCAGGAGAAACCATATGAAGTGCTTACAGTGCCAGGAATGTAATAAACATTCAAAAACGTATGATGTGGCGCCTGACAAGAATAACTGGAAGTCAGTTTTGAATAACCATTGGCACGACGTTTACTAAGTAAGTTCCACTGCTAGGTACACAGTCTTAGGAACAATCTTTCTTTGTACATTTTTTTTCTTCAGTGAAATAAAATTAGTGGGCTTGGTGTGACAGGATTTTAAAATAATTTTTTCTCTCGTGAAAAAAGTAATGCAATTTGATAATAGAAAATATAGAAAAGAAAAACATCATGTGGCTTATTATCCTCTTATACATCTATACACACATTTTAAATATTAGGTTGTAAGAAAAGTCATGACATATTTTTTCTATTTTTCGTTGCAAAAAAGCATCATGACTTTTCCGACAACCCAATATATAACTATATTAATAAATGAATGCAGCATAATTTATATATCCATTAAATAGGATGTTATAGAAGTACCTTTAATTACTTGGGAAACTATCCATGAAATATTATGAAATTAATCAAGTTTCAGAATGTATGTTTCATGAGATTTCATTTTATAAAACAATACATAGGTTATCCATGTACCTTTGATTTTACTAATAGCCTATCAAAGCTGCTACCCTACATATTTGCAAAACATACACGGATGATGGCATCTAAAGGAAGTACACCCTTTTAATTTTGCTAAAATTTATGTATTTTAAGTACTATTTAATGACTTAAAGCAACTTAAGGAAAAATGCATTTTAAGTTAATTTCCCTAGTAATTATTTAATTGTGAGACACTATGGAGACAATGGCTTTCTATCTTTAAAAACAGTAATCGTGGCGGGAGGACGGTTAGTCCTCAGGAAGGTGTGATGAGCACAAGCACAGCTTCTCTTTACGCAAGGTACGTCCTTGGGCAGCAAGTCTCAGTACCTGCATACACGACGCTCGGGAGTGAGTGTTCATTGTTGGGCATTCGCTCTCCGCCCTGTTTTGTTCTTCAAACTTATAAAATCCCTGCAAAAACACAAGCAAAATCAGCCCAGGACTTGGATTTGCAAATAACTTTTTAGTGACATGTTCACATGAGGCTGATGGTGCAGCAACAAGATGAACTAAGCTTTCAAACAAAGTGGAATCTGACCGAGAAGTGAAATAAAGAAGGAAGAACTTCCACCAAATCGGCTTGATAGATGACAAATATGGACAGAGAACAATAAGACAGTCGGTTTGGGCATTAGGGGGAAAGACTTCATCCCTTTAGAAATTAAACTTCACAAGTCACCTCTGAAATCACATACACATTTTAGAATACAGTAAAACTCCATTAAAATGAGGCTATCATCTCAATTTGGAAATAACAAGTATTAAATCACAACTCTTCTCTTAGGTATTTTTATGCATCAAACTGATGCAACGATTAGCTTGAGTTGTTTTTGAGTCTTGTCTACAATTCAGCCTTTACAAAAGCAGGTTTAATGGGCAGCAGCAATTTTATTATAAAACTGAATGTATCTAGCAATTAAACCTTTGCTTTTCTATTAAATTCTCATGTACTCTATTTTTCAAATCAATCCATGCACATTCTGTATTTTTTTTAACTCTGAGAGAAATAAAAATAATATTTCAGACATTCACAACAAGCGGAACTTCTGAACCACCCGTCCCACACCTTTTCTATTTTTGCTTTTCCTTTGCCACCTTCCCTTCTCCTCTCTCTGCATTTTCACTGCTTTGTAAATGGAAAGGCATTGAAGAGAAGAGAACACTCAGCTAATGTAGCAGAAACAGGCAGGGAGAGAAAGCGTCCTTGCCTCCACATCCCCTTAGAGTGGGTTAGGTCTCCCGCTGTGCGCCATAACCCAATAACCCAGTGACACCAAGAAGAGGCTGGAGGGTGGCAGCCATGCTGGAGAATCTGGGACAAAGGCCGGTGAAGGTGGCCACGCGGACAGATCAGAGTCCATAGTCAAGGGAGGAATAATATCCAACAGACAGTCATTTAGTGCAAGAAAACAGGAGAGGGAGGAGACATGAATTACCTCTTTTTCACAGTTGGAGTTAAGTGTAAGCATAGCCATGGGGCTGTTGGGTGCGCTGCTCCCCGGCACTGGTGGCATGACATGATCGCCAGGCTGGTTTGGACATGGCAAGCTCAGGACTTGGTTGGCATGTTTATTTGCTAAAGTGGTAGAAAGGTACTGCTTTACCTGCTGCCTTTGGGCTTGCTGTATGTGGTACTTGGTGGGGTTTTCGAGGTGGGTCTGCACCTGAACATAGCCACGGAGGGAAGAGAAGACAGCGCTGTTATTTGTGAGTTTCGGACGCTTCTTCAGGCACAAACATGAGACTTGCAGGTCCAACAGAATAAACCATTGAGTCTCTGTTACCAGGCATTGTGCTACTGGATTTTCATGACTGAGGTTTAAAGTCTCTTAGGATTGGGGGTATTACTTTGCCTTGTTTTATTTCCCTGCTAATTAGTGGTATATCTCTTTTAAACCGTGTGCCCTTCTTCTCAAGTCTAATAACTAAAAATTTTGTAGGGCAAAAGTTTCCCAACACACCTGAAAGGGTTTATTAAGATCAAAACAATCATCTCTAGAAGAAGGAGCATAACTCAATTTATTTAACTTTCTTTGGCAAACAGAACAGCTTTTTGTTTGAAAAACAAAACTCCTTAAGAAACAACTGCAAAACGGTTGTAGAAAATAAACAAATATTTTAATGATTAAATCAACTAGTTGTGGATTAATTCCTCCCACTTTCGTTTGGACATGATTATTCAACATCTTAATTATGATCTTGAACTTAACATAAAAAGCAGTTATACATTAAACAGTTTATTTCAAAAGCATAAAACTTATATGTATGTATTTTTAAACATATGACTATTAAGCTACTAGGATATTTTTCCACTTTCCTTATTTCTTATAAACATTAATACAGAATTAGAAATGCTTTTTAAAAAAATCAATGCTACTTTACTGAAAGTCATTTTTCCTTGATAATCACAATTTAGTCTTATGAGCTATGTATGCACAGGAGCTGATGAGAGCACAGCCACACACTAGGGGGAAAAAAATCCTACTAATATTTACTCTGTTCAAAACTACTTTGAATTACTTCTTATGGTATCAAACAATAAACAGCATTAAACTAGTAGAATTGTTATTTATTGAAAATAGTGTGTCTATTACAATAACACAAAAAGGTGAATGACTCGATTTATTGCATTGTATTTCAGAGACTGAATAGGAATAAGAATAAAGCTCACCTGATAGTGATTATATTCTAGCATTTCCAGCATAACAACGTTTTAGGTGGCCCCAATCCAAGGAGAACGGTAGACTATTCACTCCCTCTACTTTCTGTAATTCCGACTTGTAGACTGACTGGCACAGAGAAGGCACTATGAACAAAGTATCCCGAGACACCACCGGAAACTTTATCACAGCATCCCTGCTTATAATAACCTAAGCTAATTAGTTATGCATGTAAAAAACCCGTTCACACAAGGGGCTTTTTTTTTTTTTTCTTTTTGGAAGCTCTATGAGTTTGGACTTAAATATTGATACTAATTTCCCCTCTGGCTTGACGTCATGCTTTTTTTCATAAATATAAAAGAACCTTTTTAAGTGATGAGCTATCAAAGTCAAACTCACTGTCAGATCAAGGCCAATTCACTATTCATCTTTAGTTCCAGTAGTATTAATAGACAATGGTATTTCTCTTTCAGCAATAGGTTAAGAGCTAATGCCCCCTTTGGAGAAGACACTGCCTAAAAGCTGCTGTTACACATGAGACTTTTCCAATGGATAACTCTGCCACTTCTGACTGCAGGAAGACCGTTTTTACGGAGGGGTCTCTATGCTGAACTTGGCATGTTCATTGGCTTGAGCTTGCATCCTGGTCTCAACGTGCAGCTTATCCTTAGCTGGATAGATATGTAACTTTCCTACTAACCTTGCATCAGGAAGAGGGGAAGCTATCCTAAATAACACAGGAAAAATATGCACGTGTGTGCACACACATATGACTGGATGTATATTTACGTGGACGTACACTTAAGTGGAATAAAGGTCTCCCCAATTTAACCCTCAAATTAGAAAGAAAATTTTACTAAAGATCTTAATATAATTCCTGGGGCTAAAGAATAAAAGTTATCATATACACAACTGATGCAATTACATATTTCCTCATTTATTCATTCCATTATTTACTGTTATGATGTGCTAAATGCTATGCAAGGCATAGAATATATATTATGAAGAAACAGATATCATTTCCACCTTTATGAAGCTTACAGTCATGGGCAACAGATGAAAAAAGGCAAACAAATACACATCTAAAATTAGGATAATGGTTAATATTCACTGCTGAAATGGGAGATATTTTAAGCATAAAAACCTGAAATTCAATAATTCTGTCCCAATGCCCAGGATAATGAAGTCCTTTAGGTTGACAGTCTCACATTGTTTGAAATGACTGATCTAACATGCACGCACGCAGAGGTTCACAGAGACACTGTAAGTTTCATAAGGATCCAGACACAGTAAGAATGGGGACAACAGACATTACTAAAATAAACGCAAAACCAGGGCAGTCAGTGTAAAGTGCTTATTTCACTATCACACTTTAAAAAGAAAAGGCTGCACATTTAAAAATAAATTCTAATTCACTGGTAGGTCCTTATTCTTTAATGAATCAGAATTTTATGCTTTAGCAAGGAAAGAAGCCATTTTACTACACCCAGCTTGGGGTCATGAGAGTGGGATGTATTTTGCCCTCTGATTGCCAGTGTCCTTTTAGTTTTCAATTAAGTTGAGAACAGATTAGCTATAAATACTGTGCAGTAGACAGAACATCTCCAGCTGTTTCCCATCCAAACACCTGAATCATGTAACATAAATGAGGTTCACACGATATGGGGATAATAGGGAGTGGTGAGGTCTGTGGAACACTAGAGAGCGCACTGTTCATCTAAAAGCAAGTGACATAAACCGCAGCGGACTGCGGTGGTACAGAATATCAGTCCAATACAGCTAGATCTCCACTTTGTCAATTTACCTGGCAATCTGAACCTCTTTTTTAAGTGAAATCTCTCAGATTAAAAAAAAAAAAAAAGACACCCAATTGTTGATTTTTCACGTTGACAAGGCAAACCAAACCCATCTGTGGGCTGGAGTCAGCCCACAGCCACTAGAATGTGACCTCTGCTTTACATTGTTCATGAGCAGCCTCTTCATACCTGCATTCCCTGGGGGATGGCCAGGTTCTGAGAAGTCAGGTCCTCTTCTGAGAAGTTAAGTGTCAAAATCTTGGCACTTCCTGATGCTCCTCTGAGCGGCCGCCTGTCTGACAGCACAGTCAGCAGAAGAGGTAAGAATTCGAAAACTGGGTTCGAATTCTGGCTTTGCTACTTTACTACTTATGTGACCTTCCGCATGTCATTCGCTTTCTCAGGCCTTCATTTCCTCACGGGTTCAGTGGGGGTAATAATAGAAGCTGCTTCACAGAGGTGTTTTCAGCACCAAGTTAAGTCGCACCTCTAACAGACTTAGCAATTATCGGAAACAGCAATTCTCAAACTTTTTTGTCTTAGTACCCTTTTTAACTCTTCAAATTTATTGTGTTTATGTGGGTTATACCTATCAATATTTAGCATGTTAGGAATTGAAACAGAAATTTTTAAAATGCAAGGTTACACACTAACACGTATTCCACTGGCCATCAGAAGAATGACATTTAACATGTCCTGCAGTGTTGGTGAAACTCTTCTGTATACTTGTGAGATGAGCATGAAAAAGGAACCGAGAATCTTGGTATCATTATGAAAATAGTTTTGATCTGGTAGGACCACTGCAAGGATCCTGAAGCCCCCAGGGCCCCCTGAACACTCTGAGAAAGGGGACTGTGATCTAGAACAGAGAGCACGCCCCCCTCCACTCCATACAGCCAGGCTAGTTACTCGCTGCTCGGATGAGGGAAGAGCACACACAGGGCTCCTGCATGGCTCACAGCCTCTGTGCGCCGTGCTGCCCTCATCCAGAAGATGCTGGAGGAAGACACTACCCTCCCCTAGCTCCCTCATAGTACCACTGTGAAGCTCTGTAGTCCCTAACTGTTTTAAAAGCCATATAAATAAAAACTTCTGTCTTCAAAAACCCTAAACCATAGCTTTTCAGTTAGTGACTTCCCTTCCTTCATTTTTAAATAGCCAGCAAACAAGGATGCAAATGAAAACATGTGGCATTAGGGCCAGTGAAGTGGTGCGTTGATTGGGAGTTGGCTTGGGAATGCCGGCTTTGAGTGGCAGGACCCCAGTTCGGATCCCACATGCGGGCCAGTGACGCTGCGCCCTCTGCAGCTAAGATGGTAAACGACGGCTCGACCTGGAGCTGGGCTGCCGTTGGTCGCTGGCGACGGCGTAGGCTGCAGTAGGCCTGGGCGGCAACGGGCGTGAGTTTTTGTGAGCTGCCCTGAGCCACTGTCTAATGGCTGGTGAGCGACTGCCTCACCCAGGAAGAGCGCAATGATAATACCAACATGGGCCAGTGAAGCGATGTCCTCCACAACTAGACTGAAGAACAAAAGGACAGCAACTTGTCTGTTCCCCTTCCCTGATTCCCCAATGCTGTTCCCCTCCCCCAATTCCCCAATAAAATCATTAAAAAAAACCCCAAAACCCAAAAAAACCAAAAAAAAATGTGGCATTAAATATCTGTATGACTTCCTGATAATTTTTGCATGGTTTTGACCTGCAGACCAACTACCCAAATTAAGGAATTCAGAGAGCAAACATTGGGTGTTGCTCAGCACTTGAAGCACAGACCACAAAACAAAGTTAGAATACTTTGTCCAAATATCGTATTTTATTTCACATAAAGAATGATGGCTATCTGGTCAAAGTGCAAAAAACCAAAGGCTTGAAGCTTTTCTTCCAAATTACTGTGTGTTACGTGCCCTTGACTTGGCAATGACTCCTGGCAACTCTGTGAATGAGCTGTGTCCACAGTGTCCCGTCCTCACAGACCTGCTCAGCTCCTGGAGACTCACCTAGGGCTTCTTTCATGGAGTCAGCCCATCTCACATTTGGTTTCCTCTTTACCTGCGGCCTCCTATTTTTCCAGCATTAGTGTCTTTTCCAAAAAACCCCACCTTCTCAGGATGTGCCCAAAGTAGGACAGCTGTAGTTTTGTCATTTTTGCCTCCAGCGGTGTTTCAGGGTACTATCCTCTTCTCTTTTTCCTTCATTCAGATCTTGAATTGATAGCAAGAGAATTGGAATGTATCATCTTCTAATGGTTACACTTTAGTTTTGCCACTTCCCATGTGTGTGTGACACGGACAGGTTATTTTCTACCAGTTTCATTCTAAAGAGGTCCTAGGGTACCTCTGCAGGGGGCCTGCAGATACTACCATCTTGACTCACAAATAATTCACTGGAGGGAAAAAAATCGCCATCTGATGTCCACTGTTCTTTTATTCACTACTATTTGTAAACCAGAATATAAATAAAACTGAAACTTGCCATAATCCTTTTAGTTTGTAACTTATTTTATTATTTATTTATTTATTTTTTAAAAAGATTTTATTGGGAAATTGGGGGAGGGAAACAGTGCTGGGGCATTGGGGGAAGGGGAACAGACAAGTTGCTGTCCTTTTGTTCTTTAGTCTAGTTGTGGAGGACGTTGCTTCACTGGCCCAAGTTGGCACCATCATT